AACATATTAGCATTTTTACCACATGTCTTGAAAGGGGCTAATTCCTAGTTAGTATGCCTTATGTGTTAGTATTTTAGAAAGTGTTCTGGCTAGAGATTTGATCAGGTATCCTACAATTTGGATAAGTTCTGCCATTTAGCGAAACCAAAAACATTAGGAGTGCCTGACTTTATATTAACCAAGAAGGAAATTGTAATTGAGGAAATGGAAGTAGCAAAAACGTGGCGAAATGCTGGCATTCTTGATTTTAATGAAAACTAAACCTGAATAAAATGGAACCAACATTTCTGACTTCAAAAGCAGAGATTTTGAGAATAATGATGTGTAGAATTCCATGACAAATAGGAAAAGTTGCCCTCAATAGGTGAGCAATAAAATAAGGCTATGCAAAATATTCAAAATGGACACCTCACAAGCTAGTTTAGTACAATTGAACACATCTTGCTGAACATTTAGATGTATAATCAGGAAACGTACATGTACATATTACTGGAGACATTCTTCCAAGCAACTGTACAAGCCTAATACTAAAAAGAAAATTGGAAAGAAATGGAGGATAACAAAATGATACTCAGTAAAATGTGCAAGAACATTAATGGAGATTTCAAAGCAAAGAGGATGTATTTAAGAGATTGTAAGAAAGCCATCTTTTCAAGGAAGAGTTTACAGGAAGCCTAAAAGTGAAGATGTGGTGTCAGGAAATCTCCAGCTCAGAAGGAACTAAGACAGGCAGAGGATGCTATGAACATCAGAAAGATTTCCAAATTATGAACAGATTAAAGTGAACTAGGAGGAAAAACTCAGTATACTAGCTCAAGGATCCCTAACCCTGGGCCATTACCAAGCCATGTAAGCAGTGGTGAACGGGCAAAGCTCCATTTGTGCAAGTGGCGGGCACAGGTGCAAAACCGGTCCACAGAGACGGAAAGATACTGGCTACTTAATGAAGAATGTTAAGTAGGTAACAGAAAGACTCCTTATTTTCAGTTAGTTTAAGGATTTAGATTAAATCTTTAAAGTCAGATGAATTACATCCTAGGATATGAATTGCTAGAGAACCCTAATGGAAGTGCCAATGGGAATAGGAAGTGTGCCGTTTCCTTGGCAGCCTAAAATTCGGCAGGCCTTTATCCCTTTAACCTTCTGTAAAACCTTAAAGACCTGATTCCCCCCCGCAAAGCATTAGGGGATTAGATAAAGATACGTTTGTATGGATTGGAGCCCGTTTTTGTTTTTACTTTTTAAAATATTTTTTATGTTTTGAGTTTGTTTTACCGTTTTAAAAATAATTTTATTGAGGGCCTCGCAGAGTTATATAAGTGACTATATAAATGTTTAAAACAAACAAGCACATTTGGTAATAACATATGCCACACAACTGGAGAAAGCTGTTTTCCTTATTTTTAGATATGAAAATAATAAGGATCCAGGGACCACAGATCACCTGATCTGGCAATAATACACGGAATAATACTAAAGCAAATTACAAAGATTATAAATATTACAAATCTATAACCATTTTGAAAACAACGGTTATATTACCACAAGCCAGCAAAGATTTTGACAATAATCAGACTTGTTTTGTTGTTGTTGTTGGACAGTTCTTGTGTATATTGTGGGAATGCTCTTAGTTTAAGTATAACTTGATTTCAGCAAAACATCTGACAAAGTACCCCATGATATGCTATAAAAGTAAAGGTTTCCCTGCCCAGTTGTGTCCGACTCAAGGAAGTGGTGCTCATCTTTGTTTCCTAGCTGAGGGAGCCAGCATTGTCTGAAGATACTTCCATGATCATGTGGGTAGCATGGCTATACGCAAAGGTGCATGGAACACTGTTAGCTTCCAGTGAAGTGGTACCTATTTATCTACTTGCATTTGCATGCTTTTGAACTGCTACCTTGGCAGGAGCTGGAGCAAGAGAGGAAGCTTACCCCGTCACATGGGGTCTCGAACTGCCAACCTTCCAGTTGATGGCCCAGCCTTTTAACCGCTAGGCCACCATGACCTATAATATGCTATATGGCATGACAATTAGCTGGACACACAATTAGCTAAAAAATCATGCTGAAAGAGCGCTTATGTCAGGCATGGGAAACCAAGAACAAAATGTGTAAACATTCAAAGCAGTTTCTTTATTCCGTGTTCAGGTACAGACTAGACTCAAGCATGCTCTGCATAACTGTAAACCAAAAATGCTGAGGAAGAAATTAGGGAAGGTCCCTCCTGGGCCACTTCCTGAATATCAACAATTCAAGGCTGCTGATGTTTTTCTTTATGTCCTCATCTCACAGCTCAATGCCAGATTCCACCACCTCTCAATAGAGATTTCCCATAAATGATCACTGTCTTGAATACCACAAAGTTCAGTCTGACTCAACTAAAAACAAGCTTATCAATATTGACAACGAAACAAAACTGGTTAAGATAACTAAATACAGAGAGAAAATTCAAAAGATGTTGATAGAGTAAATAAATGGCTGAGAAAAGAATGAAATTCAAAGAGACAAATGCAATTCTGTTCATCTAGGCCAGTGATGGCGAACCTTTTAGAGACTGAGTGCCCAAACTGCAACCCAAAACCAACTTATGCATCATTGAGTGCCGGCTGGGTGTGGCCCACTGGCTGGGCGTGGCCCACTGGCTGGGCGTGGCTGCAGTGGTAACGGCAGACTGGGTGGAACTAAAAAGTTCAATCAATCAATTCCAACTTTGCAAGATCTTTTTTTTCCCCGCGAGAAGTTGAAATTGACTGATTATTTTTTTTTGCACCCGGCGGCGGAGCCTAAAGCGAAAAGATTTTATAAAACCCAGATGAAGGCCTAGGACTGGGGCGACGGTGCGCATGCCCACAGAGAGGGCTCTGAGTGCCACCTCTGGCACCTGTGCCATAGGTTCACCACCACTGATCTAGGCAATCAAAACTGAATGTAAATGGGATGGAGGCTATCTAGCTTGGCAACAGAGTTGCCAAGCATTACAAACTGAACTTATCAGATATGATAGGACTGCAAAAATGCCAAAGGTAATTTTGGAATACAAAACCAGAAACATTGTTTCAAATAATGAGCTGCAATTGTTTCATTTTGTTCTGTTTGATCATATGCCAGCAGGAATTGGTGTGTCCTGCTATTGCATTGCATAAAGAATTCGAGCAATCTGGTTTGGAGAAAAGCAACATGGATGATCTGGAGATTAAAAACGAAATCCTATGAAGACAAGTAGAAGGGACCCTTATCATTCCAGAGTGGATAGCTGCAAACTGAAAACAGTGCTGTCCCAAAATGGCCTAAGAGCTTCAAATTATTGATGGTCAACATTGAAACAATGAGTTATTTCAAATATCTACAACACTTACATTCTATTTCTTTAAAATACAGCAGGATCTTCTAATAGTTCCTATACTACTTGTATTCTCAAAGGACCAGCTAATATTAGATTCATTGAAAAGATAAACTGAACTTGATATCCTCCCCTTACCACTCCAAAATAGTGCCCACTTGCTTTAGGTTGCTCACCTAGACTTGCCAACTGCCTACTGAAATTCAGAAATTCCTTCCCACACAAAATGTGTCCCTATGACACACCCGTCTTTCCTAGATGTATGCAGGTATTATTTACCTGACAGAAGCGGTAAACCAAACCAGGATAAGGTTGGAATGCAAATATATGTTAACTCAATTAAAAATATGAATTAAAACTATTTGCCTGTAATGTAATGTACCCCATTTACAAGGGTATTATCTCTCTGCATGCACTATCCTCCAGAAATGTACACATATACACTAATATAGCCCTTCTTCCCTCTTGCAAAACAAAACAAATAAAAAATCCAGAATAGCAATTATGGGACAAGAAGTAGTCTAGGAATCCCACCCAAAACTATATTGCAGAACCATATTGCTTTCCTCCGCAGGCATACTAATATTCTCCCAAAACTTTGCAGCATTTCCTTTTTTTTTCTAAACAGAAAGTGAAATAAACTTCCAGAATGTGTTTATCAACCTTGACAATTTTAAGGCATGTGGACTTCAACTCCCAGAATTCCACAGCCAGCATTGCTGGCTGTGGAAGTCTGGGAGTTGAAGTCCACATGCCTTAAAGTTGTCAAGGTTGAGAAACACTGGCTGAGGATTCTTTATCATGCGCACTGATGATGTTACCTAGTTTGGATAATGAAACGTCTGAAAGAAAACAAGCAAGCTCAGAGAGCACCAAGGAGCCCTCACGTCAACCCTGAGCTACAAATATTCTCCTTTCTTTACCAGTCTGTTCCCCTACGAGTTACTTTACCAACCTATACAATAGCATTCACCATCAGAGTTTCTAATAAACCGTTGCTTAACGTGCAAATTAAATTTCTCGTAATGTTGATCCGACTGCTTTGCCCTTAGTACTCGTTATCTTTAGCTCACGCGGCCAGTAAGTAGCAAGAACCGGTGGGAGAAGAGCAGGCCTTATCGTGGCTAAGCGTACAATCCCATATGAAACACAGATTTAAAAAAAAGCCCAAATAGGGCTACCCCCCCCAAAGAGAAAGCATAGATCGAACAATTATTAGGCTTCGTTCAGACTTTTAATTTTTTTTTTTTTTGAAAAGGAGAACGACAACTTTTTAAAAAAACTTTTCGAAAAAGCAATGGAGAAACGGCTTGTCTACCAGGAAGAGGCTGGGTTAGAGCAAAGTTGCCCAAACTTTGTGGACCGGCGACTGGGGAGGTGGGACGAGGGACGGTTCCCGCACGAGTGGCTGGCAAGCGCACCTGTGCGCGGCCGCTTCATTTGCACGAATGGGGTGCATGCACGCCCGCCCGCCCCTCCTGCAATTGGAGCGCACGTGAACGCGCTCGCCCGAGTTTGGATGTGTACGCGCGCTTGCCGGCCGTTTCCGGTTGCAGCCCGGTTGCAAACAGCTTGGGGACCCCTTGGGTTAGAGGGAAGCAGGGGCTTTTAGCAACGTCTAAGTACCAGGCATTCATTCGCCCTTTGCCCTAAAGGTTACCTTTCTAACAGGCTGCCTTGCAAGGACTTGACAGCAACCGGGATTCGCCAGTCTGCGTGACGCGCGGAGGACACCGTCCCGTAGGCCCCGCGGCTAACGAAGCGCTGGTCCGGGAGCTTGTTGGAAGAGATGATGGGGAGGGTGTAGCTGATGTTGCAAGGCGCGCAACTGGCGCTGCTCCCGCGGTCGAGGCCTCCGCCGTTCGTCCTCATGCTGCCGTCAGCGGCCATCAAACTAGGGCGGTTCTCCGAAACGCGCCCCTCGCGAGGGAATTCAGGCAAGGGATCCCAAACGAACGGGCGGGATCCCCGGCGAACGGGCGTCGGGACCTCAGCCTTTCCAGCGACCCTCAACAATCTCGGCCAAGAGGCGCCGGTTCTTCCGCGATTCGCTTCTAACTTTTCTTTGCATCACACCCTGCTCTCTTTAACCGGCTCTTCACCAGCGGCTTCCCCGAGTCGTCCCGAACTTCAACCTACTTATTATTATTATTATTTATTTTTTTTACAAACTCCTCATAATGCCATTCCCGACCCGTCCTTTCTCGGCCGCCATCTCTTCCGCTCCGAAGCCGGCTGGTCTAGGCGAACTTTCCAGGAGCCGCTCCGGCTTTCCTTTTGCAAAACTTCCCCTCCACCTCTCGACGCCTCTTCTCCCACTCCCTCGCCCGGAATAGGTGACAGAACCTCGCGCCACAAAGAGCGTCGGGCTGTCGAGCTTGCCGATTCGCGGGACGCCGAGCCAACGCACCCTTCTTCGCCTCTGAGGGGCGGGGAAGAACCTCGAGGCTCCGCAGGCCTCGAAAGCGATGCGAGATTTCCAAGGTTCGAAAGTCGAACCAGGTCCCCCCCCCCGCGGGACCGCTGGGCTTCGGATGGAAGGAGAAAACACGGAGGGCCAGGGGCGCTGAAGAAAGCCAGCTGCTGCGACTGGCGGTATCCGTGTCAGTGGCGCTCTAAAAACCTTCAAGGCCCCGTCTTCTCGCGGGGACCTAGATACTCCTCGGAGAGTTAGCCGGAGAGAAACGCGCTCGGGCAGGAAGGCGTTGCCTTGGGCTGCCTTCCCAAAACCTCAGACTCCCTACTACAGTATTCCGGAAGAGCAGAGGCGCACGGACTGGAAAGTCTGGCTAGTGCCCGCCCCTCCCCACTGGGTCACTTGGCTCCTTCTTTGTCGCTGAGGGTTGCGGTTCTCCTCCCCTTAGTTGCTTAAGGCGGAATCGTTCGTGAAGACCCGTTCGCCGGCAACTCACCAGCAGCTTCGGAGAGGAGAAAGTTGCAATCCCATTATACAACCTAGTCCTCGACTTAAGCACCACAATTGAGCGCTCAATTTATGTGGCTAAGGGAGACGTTTGTTAAGTGAATTTTGCCCCGTTTTACGACTTTTCTTGCCATCGTTGTTGTTATTATTATTATTTATTAAATTTATATACCGCCCTATCTCCCTTACGGGACTCAGGGCGGTGAACAGGCGATACTAAAAACCACTATAATAAATAAATAGTTTCTTCTAAAATCGAATTAAATAACAGGCCTGTTCTAAAAACACACCCATACAAAAACCCCCACTGAAACATCATCAAACTACGCCAGGCCGGCCGCACGGAATAGATGGGCCTTCAGGGCTCGGCAGTGAATCACTGTAGTTGTCAAGTTAGTAACACGGTTGTTAAGTGAATCTGGTTTCCCCATTGACTTTGCTTGTCAGAAAGTCTCAAAAGCTGGTGCTTTTGGATGCCAGGACACTGCAACTGTCGTAAGCGTGAACTAGTTGTCAAGTGTCTGAATTTTGATCACGTGGCCATGGGGATGCTGCACTACTCGTAGGTGTGAAAAACCGTCATAAGTCACTTTTTTCAGTGCTATTGTAACTTTGAACGGTCACTAAATGAATTGTAAGTTGATGACCACCTCTACTTGTAGGCAAGCAAGAAGAAATATATCTGAAGTCCACAAACTGATTTATTTGGGCTAAAGGTGCTAAAGCTTTAAGCTGCGGTCCTGTCACTTTGTGTTTCACTACTTTTACAGTACTTTTACAAGTACTTTTACAAGTACTTTTACCGCTTACATATTTGAGGTTATCTAAGAAGCGTTACACCCTATTAGGTTGTGTTAAGTGTCAGCTAACCACACAATCTTTACTCTGTGTTTACATAACATTAAGACAATACTTAACAAGCAAATAACATGTTGTCTTAGGTTGTTACATGATTCAAGCCTATCCTACTTCAGTGTATAAACCTCAGTGAACGGAAAGTGATGATGGAGTTTAATTAATGCAGAAGAAATAAAATGTCATTTTTAAAAATATTTTCCACAGACTCTATTCTGGTTCCTTTCTGAGGAAAAGAGGAACCACTCCATATCTACCGAGATCAAAGAATCTAACCTAATTTCCAAATAAGCAGAGAGAGACGTTTTTGGTTCTGCCTTAACGTTTAGTTTTAATCATGTGGAAGCCAGCAGAGAAGCGTGATTTCCGGAAATCTGCTGAAATTAGAGTGCTTTTTCAGAGGAAGCAGAAGTTTTGTAAAAAAAAAAAAAGCCATACTTTATAACCTGCCACCAAAATCCAATAGAGGAAACCAATATTAACATCAAGAATTACATTTGAGATTGAGAAGCAATTCTCTTTTAATTCTTCCATAATTCCATCAGTCTTGAGAGAGCGTGGAGTCTCATCAAAACACTGATGTTACCTAGTTTGGTAATAAAATGTCCTGAAGGATTTTTTCTTTCTCTTTCTGTCTCTCTCATCTATTTATCTCCCTCCATCTATTTCCTTCCTTCCTGTGATTCTCTAAAATTGGACTTGCACTTGACTAACCTTGTTCCCCCCTCCTCGCCTTTCTGCTGGCTTCAGAGTTATCCCAATATCTGCTGATTTTCCCTAGTTGGTTTTAATGACTTCATGAGATCTGCATGGAGAACCTTGTTCTGTCTTAATATTCATTTTTTTAAATTTGGCAGTTAATTACTATAATTTATAAAAACAAGACATTATAACATTCTTTCCCTAGAAACAAGTTTTTGAATATTGAAAGGAGAATAATCGGAATTACCAAGGAAAGAGCAACTGGTCAGCATTCTTCACATATGGAAATCGGAAATTATTTCCTTTCATGTATTTGGGAAAATTCCTGTCAGAGGTCTTCATCAAATTTGGCATTTTCCTAGTTATTTATAACAGCCTTGGATCCTATATAAGCAATCTAATCTATGTTGTTTTGTAAAATGATGTACTATTTTCTGTTTTTATGTATTTATTTATTTATTAGATTTAGATGCCACCCATCTCAGTCCTAGAAGAGATCAACCCCAACTGCTCTTTAGAAGGCCAGATCCTGAAGTTGAAACTCAAATACTTTGGCCACCTAATGAGAAGGAAGGATTCACTGGAGAAGGGCCTAATGCTGGGAAAGATTGAGGGCAATAGAAGAATGGGACGACAGAATGAGGTGGCTGGATGGAGACACTGAAGCAGTAGGCGTGAACTTAAATGGACTCCAGAAGATGATAGAGGAACATTGCCCATGGGGTCGTGATGGGTCGGACATGACTTCGCAATTAACAACAACAACATCTCACTTTGAAAAATGTCTGGGCTACTTTTTAAGTTCCTAAAGTACAGAGTTAGAAACTGAAGTTCTAGTTCCAGTTAGAAACTGGATGATATAATTGATAAAATAAGTGGATATTTTATTACAGATTATATTAATTTAGTATAGGATATTGTATCATGTAACAACTGGAAATATTTCCAAATTCTGTATCTTTCTCCTCTTTAACCTGGTGCCTTCTACAGTCTTCAACATTTCAACTTCCACGAAACCCAGGCAGTTTATGCAGCTGTTCTATCTTTACTTTCTTCTCTTTTATAGTAAAAAAAAAAAAATGGAGAAACACCAGAAAACATTTTCAAGCATTGTCACGAAGGATTGGTGTGGTGTGGTGGTGGTGGGGGATGGGACCACAACTAAAAAGACTAGAAAGAAAAAAACTAGAAAGAAAAAAAAAACTAGAAAGAAATTTAAAGCACCCCGAGCGTTGAAAAAAAAAAACAGTGGGTGGCTTTGGACCAGTAATTGTCTTGCAGCCCAATTGACCCTCTAGAATAAGTTAAGTGGAAGTAGTGCAAATGTGTGTGGAGCCTTCTTGGCTGAAGGTTGTTTTCTGCCCTATGTTCACTGTTAGAGACAGGCGTGGGCTGTTGGGGATGAGTCTGTATTATCTGCATCTCAAACTGAAGTGCAAGAAGCTTTTTGGATAGAAGCGAAACGTCTTCAAAGAAAAACAAGAAGTCCAGCTGCCTCCTGAAAAAGCACCTTTGGGACAACCATGACCTGGATCACTGAGAATCTCCATAGACATTTACCTATGCCCTTTGGGATGAACATCCCTTGAATGGTGCGGGAGTATGAACGGATTTCCAGAAAACATTGTGGACTACAGGAACCACCTGCGCCTGTTTGAGATGCAGACAACACAGACTCATCCCCAACAGCCTGGCCTATCTTTGGCAATGAGGGGACATCCTGCAGCCAAGAAGGGTCCACACATTTGCACTACTCAGGTGACTCTGAGGACACAGGTAAACCTCCAAGTGCTCTCAACGACTCTCTAAAAGGATGCAAATGACCATCTGTCTGCAAGGAATATAAATCCTTCCATTCTCCACCATCCAGTCAGAGTTAAAGAAGCTTGGATGAGAAGTGAAACGTCTTCAAAGAAAAACAAGGAAGTCCAGTTGCCTCCTGAAACAAATGGAAGGAATGTTCTTCCAACGGAAAGATAGAATAAATAAGTAACAAAGAAATGAATTTGAACCCTTTGTGAAATTCTGTGTTTGAGAAAGGCTATTGTGCAATTAAAGCCTAATCTGGAAACACCCTGAAAGAGGGCACCATGCAGTGCCTACGAAAGAAGGAAAGTCCTTTGTTGAGGTAATACGTTTGGCCACAGGTTTGGGTCAGCTGTTAAGCAGAAAAACAGACTTATCTCAGATTGGACACAGAAGTCAGGTCAGGCAGAAATGCTGGGAAATTCCCTTACTCCCCCTCCCTTCTGGCTAAGTTAGTTGTCAACAGGAAGGAGGAAATAGTTCAGTTGCTCTACAGAAGAGCTACAGGAGCAAGCAGAGATTCTGCAAATGCATGGCTTTGGGGAGGAGGAGGGCAGAAGGAGCTCTGTGCAAACTGCAGACCTTG